AAATTTTTGTCAAAACAACATTTAAAAAAATTCAAAACACGTACGAGTTGATTTTAATAAATGACATTGTTATCTTCAATTTTCATAACAGGTGTTTTATCTCTATAATTATTGCTCTAAATCTAATTTATGTTGACATGTTTACGTACCGAACATTGTAGGTGACCTGTCCTTTTACTGAATTATTAATAATAGTTAATTAAGTTTATTCATATCCATGATATGATAGGTATACAACATTATCGTTCTTTGTCAGAGACTTTAAAATCGTGGCAATTATTTTTTATTGTTTGTGATTATGTGTACTATTACTCGTTAATCGTTGCTTTTATTATAATTACCAGTTAAACCTTTTATTTTCTTATAATGTAAACGATATAAATGAAATCACCTGAATATTTACTAGTGTATATTGAGGTGCCTGATAATAATATTATGTTCTATACAATACAATAATACTTTGTAAACGACTGAAAAACTAATAAAATTAGATTCACTAGCTATTTTTATTTCATATTTCATGAATAAAAATTGTACCGAGGTTCCAACGTCTATAATTACATCCTTTGTATCCTTTTATATAAAATTAAAAAATATTACAAGACTCTAGTGGCTTTAATGTTTAAAAGCTTATTTTTTGAGAAACAATATACATATTTATAGTATTTTATTATTCAGAAAAAAAAACAATATTTTATATTTTAAATACCTCAATATTATACGATAAATATTACATTTATAAATATATTTTTGTTGCCTATACAAACTTTTCCTATATCTACGTATTTGTATTATAATATTAAAAACATAGGTTTTTTAACATTGAATAAATTAACTATGAGATATAAATTATAAATTAACATTAACAATAGTTTATTTTAATGACATTGAATTCTAACTGTTGACTATATTCCCTTTGCTATTATTAGAATATTTTGATGCTTTAGATCATTGAAAGTTTGCAAGTATTTTTTTCAAACTTGAAGTTTTTTTATTGATATTTTTTACATTCAACATTTTATTTTATCACACAAAAGAATGCCTTATGATTTAATTCAAGGTTTTTGGTTTCTAACCGAAAAAATAAAAATATTCGTAGGGAAAAAGACTACTAACAACTTAAAAAAAACATGCAATTTACTTAACATCGTACTTTTAGATTTATATGTTATTTTTGTAATTAAATTTATAATGGGTCATTAACATGAGTAACTAACACGAGGTAAGTTATATTATTATTTATTACCATTATAATAGGTACTTGTTTTATTCAAAATGTATTTCTTATAATTTATAATATGCAAGTGACTTAAAGTAATGGATTTATGATAAAACTCATTGTAGTTAAGTGACTCAGCAATAATATACCTAGATAAATATTATACAGTAAATTATTTTATTTTAGGACATATTTATTATGTACTGACCAAAATATAAATAATATCCTATTTGTTTGTCAAGTATGACTTGAATTTGATTTTTAATAAACTCAAACATATAAAGATCATAGTATAGGATATAGTATAAACATTAATAATTTAAACAATATTTAAAATAAGGAAGTCAATTGATTTTGACAACAGTACCTACCCAATACAAAATGTAGCAAGGAAATAAATATTGCTAAAATGTATTTTAGGTAGTAGGTACATACATTTACTTAAATCAATAACATTAACCGATTACACGTCTTTAATTAGGTAACATAATAATTATGCTTTTTTTCAATAAAAATGGTTTATTTTTGAAAATGTGTTTTGCGGATATTTGGCAGCGAAGAAAAAGGTAGCATGTTATGCTTATTGGCTGTGCAATTACAGAGCCGACGATAATATCAAACCATTACTTTAACGGTCTCATAATATAAATATGTTTGACGAGTGCCTTTTTAACGAAATACAAAACGGAACGACTAATTTACGGAGCTCAACAACCTGAAGAGCTCGTACGTTACCTATGTATTCGTTTAAATCGAATCCAATGCGATTGTAACTAGTCCCGTTATCAAAAACTTAAATATCAATACTGAATCTGCTGAACACAGCAATGTTAACTTATCATAGTATTTACTATTTTCTTCCTAAAAATTACACCAAATTTTTACATTTTTCCTATCATTAAATAAGATTAAAATAGCAGTTAACATGTATGGATAGTTATATACATATAGATTATAGATACATGCAGATGATTGTATATTGTACCTATAATATTGCATAATATTATAATTAACAATGCCGTATCTGAAGATCAAGTGGCAACGGCCAAGGAGATTCAAACTATTTAATAAATATCTGGATAGGTGCTAATTGTAGGTACATGCTACACATTCAAAATAATTAACATATCAAAGAATTTTTTATTTTAAATTATGAAAATATTATTTTTTAATATAATTTAATGCAATAGCAATTTTACTTTGGTTTATTGACACAATAATTATAAATACATTAGGAAACAAATCAAAGCCCAACACCCTATGGGAGGGGGGTGGATTCAATTATTGCCTTCCCATCCAAATACTTAACTGATATTTAAATAATAATATTATAAGTACAACGTAATATTCTATGTTACACATTGCACTGCACATTTTTTGCACCCTTATACTGTTTAGTGGTTTTTTTTTTTCATACCTACCTTCAAAGTACTTGACCATGATTATAATAATATAAATTACATTGGCAGCGATGCGTATATGTAAGTTACATAGTTTGCATTATTTCTCTGTTGCCTGCAGCGATCGGACCGTATAATATACCATTTTGCGCAATAGCCGATGGGTTTTAAGTTATACATGACATAATGTTATATATTATTATCATGCCATGCAAACGACGCCTCGTCGTTAATTTACGGAAGTTTGGTGTAGGCATGCTTGTCGTCGAAATAACTACCGCCGTTGTTGTGGCTGATCTAAAAGCTGTCCCTCATTATTGCTCTGCGCCGTCAGTTGTGAAGGGTTGACTGGGGGAGGGTTGTTGCTCATGCGAGGTATATAGGTGCTGATGTCGGCGGTCGTGGTGGTGGTCACCTTTAATATTATTGTTGCTATTACGATAACCTAACCCAAGTATAATAATATTTTATACTGTCATCACCATCTAATGCCAGCAAATGATTGATGGGTGTTTATGCGAAAATCGAAAACATACTGATAATATTAATATTATGTATCATACATCGCTTACATTATTTTAAATAATATGTGCACACGTCTGGAGATTTAGCGATTCGATTAAGCCACGGTGATTATGGAACTGTATATTATAATGAGTATTACTGCTATTAGAAACATTAAGCTGCAACGCAACATTATATTTTATAGCTTTGTAACGGCATGTTATACGGCGTGCTTACGATGCAGACGTCAGGGACGGTGTAGTATCCTGGAGGTGGTGGTGGTCGTCGAAAATCTCACGTCTGCTCCGCCTCTTTTCGAGCATTATTGTTGGTACTATTATTATACGGTTCGATGGTAAACTTATTGTCATGATGCCTATCCACAAAGCGGGACTTCTGAGATCAGCTCCAAGTATAAGCACAGAATAAATTCAAATAGTCAAATTATTATGTGGTAGGTATACAACAGGTCTACCTATTATTGCAAAACAATGCTTAATGGTAATGAATCTCAGTAGGATGTATGTACATAGAGGTGTTATACTGAGTATACACTACAATATATTATTTTAATACTCGAAGAAAATCAGCAACTTATCCTTATGGTTTTCATTTTATCTCTATTCGGTTTTATGGAGAATGAGGAATAAAAAATGGATTTTATAATGGTGTGTGAGTTAAAAGTTAAATATATTTTTCTAGTGGGAAAGATAATCTAGTTGGTAATTTGTGGGAGGGGGGTGGGGGCTCAAAACGGGAAATTGTTAATGCGCAGTTATCCGTACCTTCATCACTTCCTACATCACTAATTTTGTGAGGTTTTCAGCGTAGGAGCTACATTTTTCAGTGCGAACTAAACCGCATCTATTGATCGTGGCGTATTATATTTTAGACAGCATTCGTCAATTTTCTTCATTTTATGTTGTTCCATTATTGTTGTTATTATTATTGTTCGATATAACGGATTGAAGATGGGGGAATGACGTAGATAGTCGCTGGCGTACACCTATAATATACGACCAAGCAAAAAAAAAGTTTCTTTTTATCTCCGCACTACCCATCGCAGCTGACTTACTATAGCTGTATATAGAATATTACATTGGTGGAGAATACAAATCGACGAATTAATTTAGGCAACTAAATTTTATGGCGGTCACGAAATGTTCATTTTTTACTCCCTATCATAGTTCCTTTTTTTTTTATTATATTTAGTTTTCTTCGATTTTTACATTGGACAAATATAGTTTAGGTATGCCTACCTATTTTTTTATTTTCTTGATTTACCGTACAAATATATAAACTTTTTTCTGGATATTCTCATTGCAGAATTTTATAATTCGATGTGGTGGGGACAAATGTGATTAGATTATACATTATAATTGTGAATCATATTGAAATACTGTGCCAGACGTAACAACATAGCCGTGCATTAAACAGCATTTCAGATTTGTTTAAATGTTTTACATTTGTTAATAGTATTTATGTACATCAATTATTTCGAACCACAATACCATACATGGTTTTCATTTAATTTCGATTATATTATGCATTAAAATGCTTTGTGTGGAATAAACATTATCAGCATATTACGATGGTGTGTGTATGGTTTATTGTTCGAAGAATTACTTTTTCAGTTGACTGTGCGTAGTTTTGATCATCGTATCGTTTGAGTGTGTGTTATATTGAGGCAAATTAGTGAATAATAATATTTCAATAATATATAATATAATATACTTATTCAAAATAAGTATAAAATGACCACACGGAGTCGTACTTCTATTTACTTGACTGATCAACCTACTTAGTACTTACCTACTCCAAGTATACCTAGTAATCGGTTACCGTCTAATAATGAAGCATTGAGTTCCTTTTTTCATATGTACCGAATCGAAAAGAAATCTTTTAATTATTCATGCGTTAAAGTAATTGAAGAAGTGATATTTGTTTGGAATAAAGCAAGAATACCGACAACGCGGAAGGATAACGCAATAAATAAGTTTAAAAAGATCTACAATCAATGGCTTAATCTTTTTAAACATAAAGATAGAATAACAGAGCTTCACCGTCAACAAGAAAGTGGGTTTCGTTTAAAGATGGCTAATCTTTTTGATATTAGTGATGCTAATGCTACAAATAAAATAATTATTGATAAAGATAGGCAATTATTACTGGCACAACGAGAGCCAGGAAGAAGTGGTTTTATGTCTACAGAGGACGTTTTTACAACCAAAACATAATTGTAAAATGGAGCGAGAAGAAAAACTACGGCTATATATAGGAAAGGTTGCCAATCGTAATTCAACTAATTTTTATGATTTTACATCATCAGACACGGAAAAAAATCATTCGAGTGACAATAATTCTGATGATGATTTCAAAGTTAAAGAAAAAAAATCAAAAAAAGTCATTGCAAGCAAGAAGAAATTGAAACCTTTAATAACACCAGAATTAGCAGTTGTGTTGGATAGAACTAAAGTCAGTGATCGGCAAGCAACTTTTATCATTGGAGCTACAGTAAAAAGTTTAGGTGAAGACATTAATTCTTTTGCTTGTAGTCGAAGTACGATAAAACTACATCGTGAAAAAATGAGGCAAGAAATGGCTAATTTTATAAAAGAATCGTTTACACCAAATATCAAATTAACTGTTCACAGGGATGGAAAAATGATGTCTGATCTCACATCTAGAGAGCATGTAGACCGCCTGCCAATATTAGTTTCAGGAGGAGAACAAGAAAAATTACTCAGTATAAAAAAACTATCATCGTCGACTGGAGAGGTGCATTCTCAAGCCGTTTTTGATTGCTTGAGTGAACAAGAATGGAACTTAAGCCATAATATTGTTGCCATGTGTTTTGACACGACGTCCTCGAACATCGTGAAATACAAAGGATCTTGTATACTATTGGAACGTTAACTTGGATAAAATTTATTCTGGCTAGCATGCAGACATCACATATTTGTGTTAGTTATTGGAGCAACATTTCAAACAATCTTGCCTTCAGCTATATCTGGGCCTGATAACCGACTTTTTGTACGCTTTCAGTCTTATTAGTCATAAATTGATCAGTCAACATATACACAGTCAACTCCACTAGTATTCTCAGAATAACAGATAAAAAACGAGACGATATAGTCAATTTTTGTCAGGAAATGCTTCAACTCCTCAAAAACATAATGATGCATGCATTGTAAAAATGTTCTAAACATTAAATGAAATAAAAAAAATATTCCAATATAAATATCAATATAAAGGAACATTGCCTATATAGTACATAATATGTATAAAACGTATGGATATAATTGTAATATATCAAGCATTTCAAGATGTTCTATAGATTTTCTGCCATCAACATTTTTGGTGGTAAAAAATATGCTCCAATGTTTGATATAATTATCTTTTCTGATAGAAAAGTGAACATTGTTAGTGAATTCTGGAAGCCAAAATTCTAAAATAAAGTTATAAGTTAAATTAATAAGTCGGAAAGTTACTATTCAAAAAATATTGACTAGTGTGGTCCACCTTCCATACGAATTTCTCCTCACCTTACCTCATGGGCGCTCTACTCTGTGTCGGTTTTTTGGACTTTTAGTCATGACTTTGACGTAGCGAAAAGAGAAAGTGGGTTCTGAATGTTATCCACCAAATACGTAAGATCATATAGAGCGCTTTCAAAGGATTTATATAATAACCAACCAAGTAAAATAATATGATATATGATTTTTATGCTTTTAAAATTTTAAATTCTAATAAGTTGATATTTTTTTATACTCGGATTAACCAGGGATATTATTAAACATCTTTTAAAATATTACTATAGAAACTTCATTTTATTATGTGATATTATATGATGTTATTATTTTATAGTAGTATTACATTTTATATTCTTATCAATAATTATTATATTATACAAATTAATTTACCAGTTGTTATTATAGAGGTAGGTATTATTAATTTATCATTTATTTAATATGTAATTATTGTGCTGTACAACGAATTAAATTAAAACATAAAAGCTATAAAAAAAACAAATCAAAAACAAAATTATTATTTATTTTTTTTTAAACTTTTCGTAACAATCAATTCATTGTAGGTACTTAATTAGTTTGTAATAATTCAACTTGTTGTACACAAGCTTCACTTGCGGTGGCATTTATTTAGTTTGATCGTTTTATTTTTAAATCTAATCACAACACATTTTTTTCAGTAAAAATCGTAGGTAACTTTTTTTTTAAATCTCTGATTTTCTCTGATTTTCTAAAATGATGCAGTACAATTTTAGGAACTATGAATTTAAGTTTCCAGTTTTTGATGTACAGATCATAAATGTTGGATATCATATTTTAAGTATTAAATATATTTTCTAAAAGTATAATTCATAATTGGAACGCGAATACAGTGTTTTTGGTTAGTACTAAATGCAATATAAGCGTGTTTAAATGCATTGTTCTCCCATAAATTATTTGTATCATATACAGGTAATGTTCACTCGTAAAGCATACGTCGGTAATAATGCACTTACATTTCTTAAAAATAACGTTGCTTACAAATGATGCATTTTTTAGATGTATTGGTTGGTTGAGCTTATTTATTGGGCTTTAAAAAAATAATATCATCAGTGTCACAACCACCCCCTCCGCCACCACTACCACCACTCCAATAACTGTTGTTCACATAGTAAAACTATAAAAACGTGGGTGCTTAATTTTTCATAATAAACCTTTATACAATAGAAAATGGTTTTTTACTTGGGCTTGATTGCACTTGAGGTTTTTCTGTTACGCATATTATAAATATTTTAAATAATACAAACACTAAAACACTGCAGCCGTAAAATATGCATACACGCAAGCTTCATAAAATAAAAATATCAATGCCTTTAATAACTTGTACATTTTTTTCTTTCCCTAAAAACACGGAAGTTACCCATTTTAGGAAATAAATCACGTTTACGTGGTCAATTCGATTGTAGGTGACATGCAATAAATCAATTAAAAACAATATAGTTTTCAGAGTACAAACATGTTCGTCAAAATGATTCTATAAGCATTAGTATTGTATACTTACTGTAGAAAATCATTTCGGAGACTATGAAAGCGAAAGTGTGTATAGGTAAATGATTACAATATTATGAAAATTCGTATTTAACAATTTAAAATGTATACCTACTGTAAAATATCCAGTGAATATATTTAAAATCGAAGCGTTAACCAAATAGAGTACCTACAACTGAACTTATAATTCAACGCGTATTATACTGATATGCTAATATTGTTAACTTTTAACTCTAATTACGAGGTATCTTATTCTCCTAAGGGGTCGTAACCTTGCATTTAATGAAACTCGAAAACCTAATAAACTTAGAATTCTAATTTCAACTAATATTGTTGCACACGCATACTAATAATAAGAATTACCATGAACAAATACCATGGTTTGTTGTAGTATTTACAATATAAATCAATATAATTATTGTGTTACTGTTATTATATACTAAATATATTTTATAACGTGTTTTATTTTATTCGAAGCCATCGTTAATAATAATAAATATATATTATTAATTATTATATAGACAACTATTCTGATAAAGAAGAGTAGGTACACTATACAATACCTAGTGTAACTGCATATAAGTATACTCGTCATACTAATATTGGATTACCTATGTAGGTATAAATTATTAATACATTTGAATAATTTATATTAATATAAAACCTTGATCTGTTATGTGGATTTGTAATCTCTAGAAACTTATTTTATTTGTAGTTTTTAAAATTTGAATAAAACTTGACTTAAATATAATTTTATTATAATAATAATACAATTCAGAAATATTTCAATGTTCTCATAAACATTTTAATATAATTCTTGTTAGTAATTTTATAGTACGATGTTTACTTATTGTTAAGTAGTATAACAATACAAAATATTATTCTACATTTCTTCAAGAAAAGTATGGTAGTATCATAGTAAGTATTATTCAGAAAATTACCTTATATATTACAAATATAAAATTAAATATTAATTTGTGGGGACCTGTTGTTAGGGATGTATCACTAAAAGATTTATTTTTATATAATATGTCACCGAACATTCAATGTACCTAAATAGACAATTTTATAAATCAAACAATATTAAATACAGTAATAACTATATCCTTGAGTAAAATTGTTTGTATAATGCATACTAATATATTATTATGCATTCTAGTCAAAGAATCTATACACAATAACTCAATGTTAATTTAGATTTCTTACATTTTTACCAATCTAGATTTGAATATTTGATCATATTCATAATTCTTATGCAGTGAACTTCTTACGCTCACAATCTCATTTCATGTCATAATGGCATAATGTATATGTTAAAATTCAGATTTTTTTAATTTTTAAGTACCATAGTCTAATACCATTTCTGTACCAAATTTCATAGCAATTGGATCAATGGTTTAGGAATGCATAAAATACATAATATGTAGGTAGATTCATTTTTCGTTTATATATATATAAAAGTATAGATTCTTTGGATTGTTATCATATTTGAGTGCTTAAAATATAACGGCTCAGAAGACAATAATCGTTAAAATTTGGATTTATATGCATCAACATTTTGAAAAAAAATTATCTGTGGATTATATTATAATAAAAAAGATGGTTCACATTTGGAAAAAGACGTTTGTATCAGCACGGGTTAATCTTTAAAATTTAAATATTATAGAAAATACAAGTAATTGAGAATATTGTCTTGGTAAACTTAAAAATTCTAAAAATCGAATTCTAAATTAATTTATTATAAATAAGAAGTGGGGGTGAGCATACATGGTGAATTACTTTAGTAGGTATGTTAATGTTGGTACTTTCTGTTTTTGGAATATATTTGGCCAATTACGTATAATAAAAGAAAAACACACAAATTATACCAACACGTTTTTGTTAGTTCAATAAATTCATAAATTACCTATTGTCAAATAATTGATAATGATAAAAAATATAGCTTTGTTCCAATAATGTCTAAGTAATTTTTTTTTTTTTTGAAACAATAAAACAATGAATTCTATAAAATGTGAGTAGGATTGTATTATTGTGCATGTGATGTAACGGTAGTTGTGGACAATCAAATTGACTGTATTTTTTTTAACGGAAATAGATTAGGTAAAGCTGTCGGTGACCGATCTATTTATATACAATATTGAATATATTATATTCATTAATTTGACGCCAATAATTGAAACATTTAGTGATAGAAATAAATCGTTTATTTAGTTCGATGTTAGGTATTAGATTATATAATTTCTTTATCAATGGTTTTTGCACAAACATTACACTTTTTAAAAAGTACAATAATTTTGTGTTACACGGTAAAAAATGTGACTGAGCGAAAAATTCCCGCTTGAACTTTTTAAATCCCCTTGTAAAAATGGGCTGTGAACGTGTGGATAATATTATGATATATTTCATCAATAACTTTATATCAACTCTCTGGAAAGGGGTCGATTTTTATTGCACTGTCGGGTGAAAGTAATTTTGCTAGAGTTTTGCGTCAGTTCGCCTCTCAATTTTTCTCTTTAACGAGAAAACTGATAAACGATATTTCCTCTTGCTTGACAAATATATAAGTTAATACAAACTTATTTTATTGTTTGTTACTACCGAAACGCATACTATGTAATTTTATACACGCTCACTTTGGAGTTTATAGTATGTATATTTGACCAGTTTTTTTTAACTAATAAATAAACTTTAACTATTATATTGTGTGGTACTTATCATAATATAAGTAGTATGTATCGAAAACGTAACATTTTTCATCTATGAATAATTTTTGTGTTATATTCTTCGTCTATGTATAATAACAGACAAGCTTTGAGATTTTCATTTGATACATTGTATAAATTGATATTAAATCAAATTGAA